TAATGCGGGTTGGTCATGCGAATACGGACCAGTCCGCTAAGGTGCCGGCCGCGGGCTGGCCAAGGCAGGTTGGCGGGCTGGCGGCTACATATTCTTTTTTTTAAAAATAAAAACTATTATTATTAATATAGGTTGAGCTTAATTTGAAATGTTAAAATTAGACTTCGAATCTTGAATTTGAGTAGTGAGTTATGATAAAATAAACTGAAGATTAATTTATAATTTAAGAATATATTTTTAAAAACTAATATATTTTTTATAAATAATTAATTTAACTAGTTTTTTTTATTCAAAGTAATTTAGTTTTCTTATCCAAATTAATTAAGTAGATATTTTATGTATAAATGTATAAGTATCACATGTTTATTTAATTTTATAAAGGCTTTTATAGAGACACAACAAATAAATGAAAAATAAAATATGGACGATGATCTTCGTATAACTATACACAGAATCACAAAATATAAAGTGTTTAATTACTTATGCAATGATATGAAAGAGGCAATGTTTAATTGTTCATGTGGAATTTGAGGGTCAAAATATTTTAACTATATTAGAAATTATATAAAAAAAAAATTTTTAAAAAAAAGCAGGCCAGCCCGCCAACCTACCAACTAGCCTGCGGCGAAGCGGGCTCAAAACGGTACTGGCTGAAATAGCCCACACCTTAGCGAGCTGGCATATTGCCGACCCGAGCCCGCTTTTTTTGGCAAGCTGGGCCCACGTATTACTAGCTCTAGCTAGCATGATCTATTTATTTACGAATAGACTATGCTAAATGCTAAATTTTTTACCAAGCCAAAAAAGAACAGAATTAGATGCAACCTCCAAACTTGGCTAAAGCACCTAGCAAATACATGAAAACAATTTTCATAAAATATATTCACCGTGTGTGTGTGTGTGTTTTTTTAGGTGAAATATTTTGGTATTTTCATCTTTATTTTTAATGTTTGGACAAGGTGCTTGAATCATGAGGGTATTTTAGTATTTTCATGGGGCAGAGGCGGTCCCATTATTTACGATAGGGGTGTGCATGAGGCCCGCATGCCCAATAAGCCCGCCCGAGCCCGCAAGAAAAATGCCCAGCCCAATCCAGTAAAAAGCTGCCCAAGCAAAAAATGGGCATCTTCGGGCCGGGCTGATTCACGGGCAGGGCAGGGCCGCGGGCAGGGTATGCTGCCCTGCCCATTTGGGCCCTGCCCGAAAAAATATATAATTATATATATAAGATAATATTATTTCAAGCAATTATCTCTTTTATTTTAGCTAAAAAAAATAGGTAAAATTAGAAAAAATGAAAGGAACATAAAAATTATAATTATATAAAAGAGCTAAATATCAAAATATAAGATTCAATATGCTAAATTACTCCAAGTCAAATGTTCTTCTTTTTCTCTTACATCCAATTTTTTAAAACAAAATAAAATAAAATAAAACCACCTTTCAAATTTTGTGCTTTCACATGATTATAAGAATCCACCAATTATATGGATAAACTAAGAAATTGAAATACTGATTTAGCTTAATTATTAAATATTCTAATTATTAAATATTTTTTTTACCTCCCATAAGAAATCAAAAGCTAAAGAATAAGACTACATAGGCCTTATATATATATATGAGTGATAGACTCATTCGTGATAATTTTTTTCCTCTCATTTGTCTCAAAACATGATAATTGATTTTTTTTTTTACATATGACATAGGGCATTGTGTCATTACGCTGGGCAGAAAAGCCCGCCCTGCCCAGCCCGCCCTTGCCCTGCCCAAAATGGTTAGGGCTTCTACTGGGCAGGGCCGGGCAACGGGCTGCAAAACGCAGCCCGCTCATCTTTCGGGCTGGGCATCGGGCAAGGGGCCAGCCCTGCCCATGTGCAACCCTAATTTACGATTTGCTCGAGTCTTTCTTAGTAGATCTAACTAACCATTAGTAAATCTGGAATAATATAAACGTGCTGAGACTTTGCATGATCAATCAAATTTATTAATAATGTTTTTACCACAAATTTATTAATAATTGAGGTCGGTTAACAACTTCAGCTCAAAAAAAAAAAAAAAAGAAGAAGTGGGCTAACAACTCACATAGACGGGCCCCACTTGACAATGCTTACCGATCTTTGCTCATTCATTAATTGGAAGCTAATTTCTTTGACTTTTTCCTGGAAATCATGTGTTCACGAAAAATAGGGCGTGCTTTACTCTGCTATGAGGCCCTATTAGTTTATCTTAACGGTGAGAATTTTCGTCCCTTCGATGTTTCTTTTATTAGATTTAACGTTATTCACATGATATATTTTAATTAGACCTAGAGAAATAATTTAGTATCGTAAAGATTTATGCTTTATTTTGATAATAATTTAAATTTAAATCAGCATGATCATATTCACGAAAAAAATATTTTTGAACCTTGGATCACACTTTATTTTTTGCAATTAATTTATTGTGATAAAATATAATAAATCATTACATTAATTAGATTATGATAAAGTGATGGGAAAATTCCAAAAAAAACTATAAAATTATTATTTTTCAATTCAAGCACCTAACACTTTAAAATGACAAAAAAATCCAAATTAGAATTTTGAAATTTAAGAGAAATGATAAAAATGTCCCTTTATTAATTCCTTTAAAAAAAATATGTTGTTAATCCTAAATCAAGACTTATAATTTCACAGTCAGGATTTATAATTTTCAGATGAATTGTTGTCTTTTTTTAATTGATTCACATATTATTTGACATGTTATTCACCAGGAAAAAACATATTAATTTCAAATCAAGACTTGTAATTTCATAATTGGGACTATTACTTCTCAATAAATTGTTATTTTTTAATTGATTTATATGTTATTTCATATGATATGTATCAAGAAAAAAACGTGTTGTTAATATCAAATTCAGACTTGTTATTTTTAGATGAATTGTTATTCATAAAAGGACATTTTTGTTATTTTTCTTGAATTTCAAAATTTCGATTTGTGTTTACTTCATTCTCTGTTATTTTGAAGTGTTAGGTGTTAGAAATGAAAAGTAATAATTTCAAAATTCTTTTCCTCAAATTTTTTCTAAAGTGACCACTGATTTTATTTATTTATTGAGTTTTTGTTGTGATAACTAACTAGCCCATCGTATATTTTGCCTAGAGTTGAATTTCACAACCTCATGCTTGAAAAAAGTTTAAGTGGAAGTGAATTATAACGCTCCAACTTATTTATTTATTGAGTTGAATTATGTATATACATATTTTTATTCTAATTAAAAATATCAGGAGTTTTGTGTTGAGCCAATATGATTAAAATGTTGGAAAAATGACAAAAAATATCTGTTAAATTTTTAAAAGATAAATAGATTGTGCTAACTATTTTTGTAATAGTTTTAATATGTCAAAATCTCTCAAAATCACTTATTTATCATTTTAAAATTCAACATGTATTTTTTAACCATTTTTTTCCCAACAAGTTATCTCCTTATCTTACTTCTCTTGGTCCTATATATAAGAATTTTTTTTTTTTGGGCTAAAGGTCTTATATATAAGATATAAATAATCAAATTATGTGTTGGATAGTTAAAAATAATAAATATGTAAATAAGCACATTTTATTTTTGAAAAATATCTTTATTTATAAGGAGAAAGTGAATAAGAAATAGAGAATGAGGGGTATAAGAAACAACCAATGGAATAAGATAACATGCAATTGACAAGGCCAGAAATAAAATAAAAAATGATCAAAATTGCAGACCTTTAAGAGCATTTTATATTTTAGGAAAAACCATTTTGGAAGTACTTTTTTTTCCATTTTCAATTTGATACTTATGTGTTTTTTTCTTAATTAAATCTTAATTTTGCTTTATTAAGATTGTTAATCTTGCGCTAAAACTGAAAATGCCAATAGAACAAAGTTACAAGTTAATATTACTAAAAAAAGCAAAGTTAAATGATTTAATTAAAAGGAAAACACACACATATACCTAATTAAAAATTGAAAGGAAGTATAGGTGCTCAGATCCTTAATATAAAAACGAAATAACTAATTTAAAAATATTAAAAAAATTAGTTAAGTAAGTTATTTGTAATAAATCTATATTATCTTTTCTAAAATGTTCTTATTAATCATGTGCAATCAAACTAACTCTTGATGAAAATTTTTTAATAAACATAATCATCATGGAGATTGTTATTGGTGGATAGAATCATAGAGATTATTTGAAGATAAAATGAAAAAATATTAAAACAAAACAAATTGAGATCTTATATTTAAAATCAAATTTAATTTCCAACAATTTCTGATATTAATGACTAGGGGTAATATATAAAACCATTTCTTTCGCAAATTATATTTTGTATAGAGGACTCGAGTACTCCTATTTCATTACCTCTTCTCCAAATATCCCGCTACCTTGTTAGTTTTATTTTATAATAAGATATGTTAAATCTTATTTTTGAAATTATGTTTTCATTTATTTTTCATAATATTTATTTTTTATTCTATTTATTGAATACAATAAGTGTGTACTGTAAAATTTATACCATACCACAATTTCATCTGGCACCGTACCAAACCACAATATTCTTATATTCCATGCAATATCTAAACATAACATCAAATTCAAGGTAAATATTGTTTCTAATATTTAAACGTGTAACAACATGTCCAAAACAACCTATGTACTCCTCCGGTCCTTAATATAAGACCCATTTAACTAATTTGATTAGATTAAAGAAATTAAGTAAGTTAGTTAATTATAAGAAAAATGACACATTTTTCTTAAAATACCATAATCATCTTTTTTAATGTCCACTCTTCCTCTTCTACTTGATTAGGGTTGAAGGAGTATCCATGGGGGTAATTTAGAGAAAATTGATAAATGTAATAAATGGGTCTTATATTTAGGACAAAAACCAACTCAAGAATTGGGTCCTATATTAAGGACCGGAGGAGTAATTAGTTCGACCCATTAGATAACACATAAGAGGCTTAGGGACTCAATCCCAAGCCATATGAAGCCTCAAATAACACATATCTAATAATTACAAATATTAACTGAACAGTTTGAACTTCAATTACACATTTACTAACACCAAAATATTTTATAAAAATAAATCCTAGAACAATCATACAAGAATGAGGTTATAGCAAAGATACAGACTAAGTGAAGATAACCAGTATTCTGTAGAACCCGAAACACATCAAGAATTTGAACGCATAAATAATAGTGAAACTAGGTGGTAATCTGTCGTTGTCATGAGACAAATGGCTCACTCATTATTCTGTAGAACTCGAAACACATCAAGAATTTGAATGCATAAATAATAGTGAAACTAGGTGCCAATCTCTCATTGTCATGAGACAAATGGCTAATTCTCATTCCACTTGTTGATGATCTGCAGAAAAATCTCATTCCAAGTGTCTATAGGACCAGGCAAGCACCAATGAACACAATCATTCTGAACTCTGTCTTTAGCCCCATTAGCAAATGGAAAAGGATACATGTAAGGACCTGGATGCCCATCTGGCCTCATCAAAGCCAGTTTGGTCACATCCAATGCCTCCAATCTCAAACCCCTTTCAAATTTCTCATTATAATTAGCCTTGGCAGCTTCCACTTCTTTAACCGCAACCTTCCTCATATCAGCATCCATCCCTTCAAGCTCCTTCTCTTCCTCTTTGAATGGCTCAGTCTTTGGACATGCGCCAGCCTTATCCCAGTCACCTTCAAAATGTGCAGGAGGAAATGTTGTCACTACCACTTTGATTCCATCTCTATCATCACCACTATTAACAGTTCTTCTTTCAATTATGTTCTTAAGGGCAGTCCTTAAAGCCTTTCTCAACATATCATAGAATTCAATTTCAGTGTGATTCAAACCAGGACAGTAATGACAGCCTGACACTGAGCCACCCTCATAGTAAACTGCAGGAAGCAAAAACCAGTGACCTATTGAAAGCACTATCAAGTCCATTTGATTAAGATCCCTTGCCCATCTCTCATCAACAAGATCTAAGAAAAGTTCGTTATTCGGTCTTCCGCTTGATTTCTCAATCCCTTTTACCAGAAATGGAGACCAATACACTGACACAGTAATGTTGTGAGAAGCAAAATGCCATCTGCGAAATTTGTTTTCTTCCCCATTGCTATAGACCAGATTGGGGGTGGAAACTGTGGCTACCATACAGAGAAGTGACTCTAATTGGTTTCTAGCCAGGGAATCACCCACAAAAGCTAAGTGCTTGTGCTCGAGAAGTTGAAGAAAAGATTGGGGTTCGAACCTGGGGAGATTGCAGTGTGTGGGTTTCCATCTCCAATAGAGATAGCCTATGTCAGGTCTTCCATGGCTGATACAGTTCTGGCCTTCCTTGATTATTCCGCAGGTCGTACCGTTGTATAAAGGGCCTCTTCCATCACGGACCCATTTCCCATTGAAGTAGTCACATGGAGTCTCATTGGGTCTTTCCTCTTCTGCAATTCAGTAACTGTTAAGCAAGAAGAACAAAGATAATGAAATGTCACTAATCAACAAAAATACAAAATGAACCCTCTTTAGGGTATCCAAATCCTTCCTTGAAGGATGACAAACAACCCTAAAACCCTTGGTAACTCATGAGGAGAGGACCTATGTTAAAGTCCCTAGCTGAGGATTAAACCATCCCACACAACTAAACACATTCTGATCGGACCCTTCAATAAACCCTAAACCAACTACTAGGCTAAGATCTTAACTAACCAATAAACTCTAGTAGTCAGTTTGACAACAAATAGACTAATCATGGTGTAAACTTGCAATATTAATAACAGGGTGGAGTGAAGTGAATTAAACCAATCACAATGACAAGATTTTTTTTTTTTTCACTTGAACTCATCTTCATCAACTTGACTTCAGTTTGCGTGCTCATCCAAGCTGATTATTTCTTCCCTTCCCCCCTTTTCTTCCTATAAAATACAACTGTCGTATTTTGGTTCAATTCAGTTTCTCCCTTTTCAGAGATCTGACCAAATCAAAGTTAAGTCCCATAAAATAAAAGAAAAAACTAATCCAACACAAGGGAGGAAGTTGAGACTTATAGTCAATGAGTTGTAACTTTGGATATTTTCTTTGCCTCACTGTAAAGCATCACGGCCATGATGGTATTCCCATAACTGTCACGGGCTTTTGAATATCAAAACCGAAACTACAGCAGCCACAGATGCCTTGGCATTTCCCAAATAAGCTATAGAGTACACGAAGCAAGATCAATGCTGCCAATGGAGCCATAAATAGAAGCAAATTCATGGAATGAAGATTCTCTGATTCAGGGGTCAACAACATCCCCAGAACCACATATTTCAAGGCACGCCCCGCAGTAGAACCAACACAAACCAAGAATCCAAACAAATGAAACAAGGGCTCGCTATTGCTAGACACAACAATCCCCCGCCCAAAAATAAAAAAGGCAATAAAGCCAAGTACGCCTCGGCAGACTTTCTTGCAATTAACCAAGAAAGTGAAAAATCGCAGTGAAGGACGACGTAGTGGCACCGATTGATTGGGTAAAAGAAACCGGAGGGTACCTCAATGCAGGATTGCCATAAATGACAGAAAAAGTATAGATAAAAAAAAAAAAAAAAGGCATTGAGCAAAGATCTTGAAGACCTGTTATCTAGAGTGAATCAAGAATAGGGGTGGTGGAAACAGGCCAGGCCAGGCCAGGCTTCACCCTTAACAGGCTAGGCCTGTGTTGAAGCCTACCAGCCTGAGCCTGGCCTGTGGCCTGTGATAGGCCTTGTGTTTAGCCTAAGCCTGATCTGTATAAAAGCCTAGCCTGGCCTGGAGCCTGTTAAAAAGCCTGAAAGTTTTGAAAATTTCAAACATACATAAATTAATTCAAAATTATAATAACTCAATCTAAATATCTAATATTCAAATTATAATAATAGGCTGACTTTAAAACTAGTTTTTTGAGGAGAAGATGCAGTCAAATAAGCCATAGATTCTAGACGAAACAACCTATAATGGTCAGCTAAAAAAATCAATCAATAATAACATAATCCATTGATGCGTTCTAATCAGTTTTTGAAAAAAATTTACGAAACTAGCAAATGAATTAAGGCAAATCATCTTAGACTTAACAACGTCATTCATAGACCTGAGACTAAAAGATATGCAAATCATCATATATGGGCATCATTCAACAGATTGCACTTCAATAACACTCCTAGACAACCTATCCAGTTCAAACCAAAATAATAAATGGCATCCTCGAATAGATAAATTACATCCGTCAGCACTTGAACTCTTGAAGAACCATAGCAATTTAAGTTTCAACACTTGAAGAACTAAAGCAATTTAAGTTTCGATCGTCAAAAAGCAATTTATGTTTCAAATAGTAACATCTACTATCAGAACAAGAACCATCCTTCCAGGCAAACACAGAATGACAGAGCAGAGAATATTTCAATTAAAATATCCCTAAAAGAAACACAGCAGTGGATAACTAAAAAACCAGCAAAGCACCGAGCATTGAGTACCAGCACCAGCAGATTGGAAGTCGAATAGCGAACGATGAACGGAGGTCGAAGGTTGTTAGATTCAAACTAGGGTTCTTCGAATAGCTTGGCTTACCTGGCTAGATGAGTTATGAGGATTGACGAGGAAGAGTTGTTGACGTCGGTGATGGTTCAAGCTCCGACCTCCGAGTTGTGGCTTGTGACTGTGAGGACTGAGGAGGAGGATGACTCGACACCTTCGATGTTGTGGCTTGGGCTTGGGAGTCGACGCGGCCGAGGATATGGAGACCGAAAAGCAGAAGCCATGAAGATTGAAGAGAGGTAGGCGACTACGTGACTGAGCGTCCTTCACGCCGATGCTAAGCAACTGAGCGACGCCGGTGAGCACGAGCACAAACCGTGGAGTCGAGCGCCTGTCTGTTTGACTCTGAGACTGAGGTAGGAGAAGGAGACCAGAGATGGAGAGTCGATCTGAAAGGTGAGACCATGACTCTGGGACTGTGAGGGTGAGAGTGAGAGCGAGAGCGACGGTCCAAAATTGAAATGAAGATTGAGGGGAAAACAAAAAACCTAAGGGAATTACGGAGTAAATAATTTTTTTTGCCAATTTACTTAACAGGGTTTAAAATTATATATCATGTAAATGAAGTATCAACAAAACGTAATGGTACAGTGGTGAAGTAACTTCTTACTCACTCACAGGTCCTGGGTTCGAGACTTACATTTTCCATAACCCAAATAATATCTGAAAAAACATAACAGGCCCAGGCCGCCTGACAAGCTTTACAGGCTTCTCATGGAGCCTGAGCCTGGCCTGTTAAATGAAATAGGCTTCTAAAAAAGCCTGAGCCTGAGCCCAAAACAGGCCAGGCTGCAGGCCCCTGACAGGCCGTCTGGCCTATTCCCACCCCTAATCAAGAAACACTGTAGCGAAGCTTGCACCGATGAGAGCGCGAAGGGCGACCTTGTAGCGAAGCTTCAACGACGTGTACGACGGTATGAGGTGCTTGTGCAGACATCGTCGCTGCTCCCAACATGGACGGCGGACAGCCGCGACGGCGGCCAGAGGTGAGGACGGAGATTACGGCGCAAGCATCACTAGTCAGTACGCAATCCTTTCCTCGTCCTTTCTCTTTTTTCTACTCCTTATACTAAATTGAAAATTGATAAGTTGAGATTATATTGCAAAATTATTATTTTTATACAAGTCAACAACAACAGTAAACAACTCGGAGAGTCAGAGCTACAGTTTAAATTTATTTAAATATTAAATCTCAATAATTTAATTTTATCCAAATCCTCCAAAGTTCTTCCTTAATTTCTTCCATAAAGGACGACAAGCATTCCCTGGTCAAAAAAAAAGGACGACATGCATCTCCAAATTTGTGGGGACTCATGAGGAGAGAGTATGTGTTAAACCTTCCTTTTTTAGAAGAAGATTAAACCATCTCGCACAACTAAACTAACACCCAAATTTAATATCTCCAACACGGTAAAAAACATGACACGTAAAGTCTGGAAAATCGGTAAAATCTCACAACCCCAAGTTACTGAATGAGATTTGAAACAAAACATATGAACAATCTGTCACGTACCTGCTGAAGACGATACTGAAGAAGAAGGAGGAGGAGGAGAGAAGGAAGAGAACTGAGGTGTGATGGTGACGGTGGATTGAGGAAGATGAGAATCTGAAGAAGGAGGAAGACAAAGAGGGTAGAAGTATAAACTAAAGAGGGAAATGGGAAGAAGAGCGTAGAGAGCGAAGGGGAAGAGTTTCTTTGGGAAGGAGAAGAGAGATTGGTGTTTGAATGTGCTTATTGATCCCATTTTCATTAAGCTTCTTCTTCTATCTTCCTTTCTGCTTTCTTCTCTGTCTCTTTTTCTGGTGTTCTCAGGCGATAAGACTGGCAAATAGTCCGCGTGGTTTCAACAAGAAGGCCCTGAGCCTAAGAGGGCGAGATGTGTGTGTGTGTGAGAGAGAGAGAGAGAGAGAGAGAGAGAGAACAGAAGAAAATTCCCGTACCCTCCCTAATCTTCAGAACAAGAACCGTGCGACACAAGTCTATTACAAGAATTACCAAAATTAATGCCTCTAGGCTTGATATGAGATTTAGATAAATAATTTATAAATATTAAAAAAATTAATTAAATTAAAGATTTATAACAAATAGATATTTTCTTATCTAAAATAGCATTATCAATCATGGATATTAAAACTACCCCTTAATTGAACTCTTTAACTTATGCAATTATCATAGGAATTATTTAGAAGCAAAATAAATAAATATTGATGATAAAGTAAATTGAAATTTTATATTTAGAGTCAAATTAAACCTCAACAAGTTCTTATACCAAGCACAGAAACTAGTATATCAATATATTAATATGCACACGAAAAATACAACTTTTTAAATTAGTTTTGTAATTTGTATGTGTATTCTAAATAACGTGTGTAATTCCGTTTCAATATTAAAAAGTCTAAAAAACTTTAAAATGTTATTATTAAAAATTACGGATGACTAATGGTAATAAAATATTTTTCAATTTTTATTTTCTTACAGTGTAATTGTCATAATCCTAAAAATGCTTGTAGCTCTCAGAAAATGGCAGTGGTAATTTTAAATGCTTCTTATGTAATTTGTGCATGTAAATTTTATATGAGTTCGGGGACAAAATAGTAAGAAAATCAACATTTATGTTAAAAGAATATTTTTTTTATTCATAACAATATTATCATTAAACATTTCGACTAGTTTAAATTATTAATATTTTTCCTAAATTTTGTAATTTTATTGTCCCCAAATGTAAGTTTCATTTTATTTATGAATTCTTCCGCAAGATATTATTCAAATTAATAAATTTTCTGTTTAAAAAAAGTTTACTTAGCTATTATTTATCATTTGCCTTGTATAGGAAAAATCTTGTTTGCTATGAATGAGCACCACAATTTATTATATAATTAAATTTTTGAATTATATTTTT